GCCCCTGCTCCGGGGGACCGGCTCCGGCTTCCCTAAGCTCTAGGACCGAGTGACTAGTCACGACTGATAGCTCCAACCAAGCAAAACGGTGGTAACGAGTGAGCCAGTTAACTTTTAAATTATTATTATTACCGTAATGCACTATTCAGGACGGGAAGTGGAATGGGGGGTGAAACTGCGAGGAGAAGAGGGGAAAAAAGGGAAAAAGAAAAAAAATCAGAGCCAGAAGGTGCGAGTAGCACACACACACAAACTTCAATTTACAGACAGAAAGACCTGCAGATGGGAGGGCATTACAGGGAAGCACTGACCACAAGCACAGGTAAGAGATTAATGAAATCGGACATTTCCCGAGCATCGCCTCAGCTCTTGGCCACCTAAAAATAAATAAATCCTAAACCTTGTAGGAGACCAACAGCAATATGCTGGGTTTGAGCAGACCATGAGGACGAGTGGTCTTGGGTACTGGCGCTGACCAAAGCCATTCACACCACACCTGAAATGGCACCTACCCTCATACTAATGCTCTGCCAGCTCCCTGCCCAGGCCAGTCCCTTTGCTCACACCTCTGACAAATCCAGAACCCTTGTCCTTGTCTTACCCAGTTTCCAAAGGGGATGGGGGGCAGAGAACACAAAGCAACCAGTTCACTTTTAGCCAGTGCAAACCAGATGGCCCGTGTCCAAGTGGGACAATTAAGAAGACAATTAAAAAGATAATGAAGTATTATTAAAAGACAGTTTTAGTATTATTCCTTTGTTTGAACTATCTGTTGCTGTTGTTTGGTTGGTTGGTTTTTTCCCTTCCTCACAGTCATATCTGAGATTGACAAGTTGTTTTAAAAACTACAAGCTTGATAAACAAAGTTAATTATGTCCTTTGGAAAAGCCTCAGTAAATGGATAGATATGTGCATATTGTAGAGCATATATGCACAGGTGCCTGCTGCCCAGTGGAAAGGCTCTGATGCACAAACAAGTAAGAATGGAGTAGTGACTCACAGGATGTCTTCAGTTTTGCTTCCGAGAAAGCAATCAAAACCTGCCTTGTGCATTAAGTAGGGCATAGAAGAATGATGCTTCTGGAGATCCTGGGAACAGCACGAGGACAACCCCGTTCTTCTACCTCCACTGTCATAAGTGACATTTCACTAGGCAGAGCAGTATGGGAAGAACGTGCTGTCCCTCTTCTATTCATTAAATGGAAGGTTCAGATCCAAGGCTGTCAAGCCAATTCTTCCTCATGAGATCCCAACTGAGATTAAAAAGTGATGGTAAGCAGTTGGAGGGTAGAGTCTGAATCCCTCCAAATTGTTCCCAGAACATGACCAGGTAGCCAGATAGGGGGCTAGTTAAGAATATCACTGCCAGGACTGAAATCTCTGAAGAATCCTGTAGCTCTACAATGAAAGATGTTCCACAAAGCAGCCTACCCTTCTCTGGTCTTGCACACTGGCTGTGGCTGAGCTACCTTTCACACACAATCTGCCTGCACACACTTATCCTGCCTTCGACACTTTTCTTCCTATAGCAGAGAAACCTTGCTTGTGCTCTTGATGATCACTCATGGAAGAGGCTTTCTACACAAAAAGCCAGTTGATCATTAAGTTAAGCTTATTAAGAGAGGTAGAGTATTCCTCCCCAATCCCCCCACAACAATCAAACCAAACACAGAAGCATGAATACTCAACAGATCAGCACACATTAAATAGAATTGTGTGACCTAAAAGCTCATCTCAGATGTTGCCGATTTCCACAAATCAGAGGTTCTTCATATGCCATGAGCTACACTAAAAACAACCCTCAAACCTGTTATGCATTAGAAACACGTATCAGAAATGCAATACCAGGAATACATTGGAAAATGCACAATAGGAGCACATAGAAACTAAATCTGATGGAGACAGTTGAACCTTTCTGTCCCCAAAAGGTTATTCTCACCATTTTTCCCACTATAGCTGCTACTTATCAAGTTTCACAATTTTAACGTAACAGACAATTGTTACAGTGATCTGCAATAAGCATCTGTACTTTTATACATATATATGCATGTATATGTGCTGTACAATACAGCTGATAGGCTGTGGCTTTGCTATATACTCTTTTCAGAACTGCTCTGCATTTTTTAGCAGGTAAAACACTCCTTGATGATTTTGCAACCTACCATTAATTCCTCAGAATACACTTTCAACAAATAGCTTTCTACCTGCTGTCCACAGATCCCTGCAAGTCTGCAGACTATTTTAAAGGGCTCATAAAATTTTGAGGAAAGCTGGACTGCCTAAAGGCTTAAATTCTCTGTTAAAACAAATGGATTTTTACTGAAAAAGACTGAGTATCTTTAAATCAAGAAGGGCCAAAAACTTTCAATATGAAGAAGCTCCAGGTAAGACGGTTCATCATATGGATTATGAAGATTATTAACAAATTTTAACACATGCTTCTGCTGCACAGAGTAATACGAGTCCACTAGTACTTATATTCATATATGCAAAAATCATACACAGATCTTTAAAGAGCAGAGAAACAATTATGGACATCTGAAGTGCCTTCTATACCACGTAAGGTACCAGGGCTTTGTTCCTGCATCTAACAGTGAGAAGTTTTTCAGCTGCTTTTTGTTTTGTTACATTGCAGTGACGCAATGGACCTTCAGAGCAGACGAAGAATCCACTGCAACATGAGACTCACTTGCTCTCTGCTAATCATGGGAGTGTTCTGCGTGACACCTGTCCTCTGCTATAGCCAAATCGATCCACTAGCTCTTGGGCGAGCAGATCCCCAGTGTTGGGAATCCTCCTCAGCTGTCTTACTGGAGATGAGGAAGCCTCGCATTTCTGACTCTGTCAGTGGCTTTTGGGACTTCATGATCTTCCTAAAATCATCAGAGAACTTGAAACACGGGGCTCTGTTCTGGGACCTGGCTCAGCTCTTCTGGGACATCTATGTGGACTGTGTGCTCTCCAGAACCCATGGCCTAGGGAGAAGGCAGCTAGCAGAATCTGAAAAGAAGATCACTACTCTACATTCTCAGTTCACAGGGAGAAACCAAGGTTACTACTCCTTTAATACGTGTCTCATGGGCAGTAACTAGAGTCTAGTAGGAAAGAAAAGAGATACAAGCTTATGTGTTATGTGATAGTACAGTAGTACAGAAAAAGAGGACAGTGCTGCACAACCTTCCTCCTATCCAGTACAGAGCTATGTTTATGTTCAAAGTGATCTCAGTAAAAAATTGACCTCCAAATACCCTGAAATGTAATGACAGCTTTTAAGTTTCAGTTAGGTGGGGGAGGAGGGGCAGTAGAAACAGGAGGATTCAAACAAAGAAGGCAGCTTAGATACTGAACATACAAAGATACTCTTCCACACCAGCATTTTTAACACTATTGTGGCATGGACAGGCTAGTTCTGAATTCCTCATTCCGAGAGGTACATCTCTCCAGGAATGCATCACACTGGTACTGCTGGAGAGAGTGTCAGTCTTTCAGCAGAAGAGTAAGGACATATTTACTTGCCATCTAGTAGTCAGCCACTAGATGTTTCCGTACTGGTAACTTTGCCCAACAAACAATGGAAACAAACCTAAGACCCAGATGTGTGCAGGCTTTCAGACACAGCTACAGCTTCAGGAGGAAGAACACTACCTATGCCACTAAACGCTGCAATTCCCCATCTCCAGGTTCCCAGCCCCAGAGCAGAATCCCCAGGCTTAAAGTAAGTATCTCCATAGGCAGTAAGGTGAGAGCTGGCACCTCACAGCAGGATCTGCAAAAGGTAGCACGTCACTTGGTCTCCCCATTCCCAGCAGGAAGATACAGCATAGCTTTTCCTAAATCTCAGTCCCTTCCAAGGCTTCAGTTCTAATCCTGCTACCAAGAGATGCATCCTTCCCTTCAAAACGTCCACTTACAGAAAGGGGCGGGTGCTATAATTTGATGGAGGGGTAGCAGTGGTGCTGCCATCACCAACAGTGTAGCACATAGGGCCCACAGGGCAGAGCTGCCTTTCCACTTGAATGGAATCAGACCCTTATCTCTACTTCCTAGATCAGTTATCAAGATGTTTGGGGGGAATGTCCATGGAGTAATGAAGAACCTTTCTGGGCAGTTACCCATTACAGTGTCTCTAAAAAAGGGATTTGAACTCAGGATTCTTCCTTCTTAGGGACACTGTACCACTAGACAGTCCAGCTCTTGCTCAAAGCTTAAAATGTTTTGTGTATTGAAAGATAGGCTTTGAGATAGGAAGGATTGAGAGGTCCTTACCCCCATTACCTACAAAGAGTATCCTAGCCATTAAGCTAGGAGTTGGGAGCTGTGTTTGAACCAATCCCTTCAGACCAAAGAACTCACATACGCAGGGACAGTTTGTAAACTCCGAGCCAAACAACCACTATTTGCATTTTAAAAGCAAGGAGTGGATCCTATCTCGGATCTGAGCTATCACATAGCTCCAGGAAGGTCATTGCTGTGTTGAGATACACTGATGACAGGCAGCATGGACCCTGCTTCTGGTTCCCATGTAGCCTTAGATATCAAAAAGGCAACAAGTTGCACAGTCCTGACCAGACTGATGCACTTTCGGGTGCAAGCGGAATGCAGCTTTAGATACATGAGGCAGTAGTACTATCAAAAACTGAGATGCCCACCAGGCTAAAATACCAGATGAATTTTTGTTTTCAGGATTGTAGCTTTGAATGCTGCTGTCTAAATTCCCCCTTAGCCTTTTGTTTATATCTGGTTCTTCATGTCTATACCACACTGTGATTTCCTAAACAAAGAGCCTTTGTTCCAGTCAAGATTAAAAGTAACAGTCTGATGTGTTTTGAAGAATCAGATTATGGGTTTTGTGATTAATACTGACTTTTGTTTACTCCTATACACAGGGATTTTAAGATACTACTAAGTAGTCACACTTTAAGACAAACAAGGATTCTTCCCCTTCTCTGTTCTTTTACCTCTTTGTTTTGTGAACTGTAATCAGTTAATCTGGTTTCTCTGTACAATTAATTAACATCAGTCAGTAGCAGGCAGCTTATAGCAGGGAGAGCCTAATTTTTTTTTTTTTTTTTTTTGAGGAGATATCTAACATCTCATCCAAGTCTCCCAGTTCCTTAACAAATCCAGCTGTTTTAATCTTTGTAACCCTTGACCCTACTGCCTTGTTTAGTCAGTGAAAGCAAAAATCAGTTGTTAATAACTGAGATAGAAATCACATCCTAGCAAACGATGACGAATAGAATTACTGCTTCTTCGGTGTAAAGAGATGTACAAGCCTGTTTTCTTAGCCCAGAGAGCAACACTAAAGGCATTTGAACGACCTTGTGTACTTGACTCCGCATCTACATGGGTGGGTATGAATAGCTTTCAGTAGGCTTGTTTTAGAAGTCAAACAATAAAGCAAGATTTTTGCTTTATACTGTTACTTTTGCAACCGTTGATAACATCTTTATTGCTCTATACTGAAGTTTTTCACCTTATTCCTCTTAAATATTAACTTTTTTTACAAAAATGCAAACAGGATCATAAATCAGCAGCAATCTGTAAGCGACATTCACTGTAGTTCCTTAAACATGTCACTGAATAGGAAAAACATGACAGAAGTCTGAACTTGGCACAGAATTACTGATGTTAAGGTGTTATTATTGTAGTAGCAGATTTCAGAACTAAAGGATAAATCTCATGAGGTCATTATGAAAATTAAGTATCAGGAACTGATCTTTTCTAAGAAAGAACAGAAAAGCCATCCAAGCCAAAAACCTGGTGAAGTCATTGGTAAAGCTTCTCAGCAGTGCCGAACAGAACTACTCTGTCACACCTAAGAAACATTTCTACAGTTCCTCATACTTTGCCCTCCTAGGAAACAAGTCTGTCTGAGTGTACAGAAAGACAGTGGTAAAAGCAGCCCAGGTTCAGACTTATAGGTTCAAACACTGTCTTCTGAACCTATCTAGTCCTGCCAGGCTCCTGGCTGTAGTTACTAACAGGTCTGAAGATACTCTTCAAACTCTACGCAATCCATAAAAAACACAGCTGCATATGAGCTATCTGAAAAACTGCATCCATCCAGCTAATGTCCTGCTTAACCCAGCATAATTTCAACTTCCTTAGCTATTCTACAGAGAAGTGTTAGTCAGCTTTAAATTGGGACAAGTACAGAGAGTCCTTCACAGCTACCTGGCCAAGGTATCTTTTTGCTAACAAAACCCAAACACAATGAAAAAGCAGGTTTCATAAAATCATTTCCAATATATTACAACACTGGAGTTAGATACTTTGTAGCTGCACCAACTCTTAATGAGACAAGATAAGACTTAACCACAAGGAAAACATAGCTTTTGTACTCACAGCAAATCTTCCTGAAGAGCAGCTGTATGAGAAGTCCCTCCTCAAGAAGCCACATAGCACATCCCCAGCATAAACACTTGTTGAATACAAACACAAAAATCTCTCTGCCTCTTTTCTCATCACCCAGCAGTCCCTCTGCTACCTCGCCACTCAGAGCAGCCACAGCTGTGCACACCTCCCTCACAGGTGCAGGTATTTAGGCTCAGATCAGCCCTCACACCTGGCCCAACTGCCAGGGACAGACACAACTTGTGTCCTAACAGCTGGGCTGCAAGGTGCCAGGGAGGGCAGTGGGGCAAAGGCTGCTGTATTATGCATTTGAGGTCTGGTAAATAAACAGATACTGTGTTAACAGGTTACTTTTTCAGAAGACAAATGTATTTAAAAGAAATAAAGCCAATCTGCTGGCTTTTGAAGGTCATTGTGAAGAAAATGCCCCATAGTTCCTCAAGGAAATAGAAATGTGCTACTAAACAGTGTGAGAGATCTCATCCACTGTGCAAGGAGGCTGATGACAAGCCAGTGAGTCAGTAAGACTGTGAGCGAGTGCTTTGACTCTGCTAATTACAAGTGGAAGAGTTTTATAGGAAGACTGGAGCAAAAGGTCCACCCTGGAGGAAAAGATCAAAGTACCTTGTCACTGAAAGGCAACTTGCAAATGGAGGGATGTGGCTGTTGCAAAAAACAAGAGGTTTTGGGGCAATCCTGATAAAATGGGGATTGGTAGCAGCTAAAGATGGAGGAAATGTGGATGTGGGAAACTGAGTATTGAGCTGCTCTTTGCTGTTTGGAAATTGATTACTTATATGCGTTTTCATGTCACTTTTCAGGGATATTTTCTCATATTCAGAGGTTGCCAGTTCTGAAGAAGAAAGACTCATTTGAAGATTTAACAACTACCCACGTACATAAAAGTAGATCTACATTACTTGGAAGAATCACTGGAGACCTAGGGAAAAAGAGGAAATGATGCATTTAGTCCAAGATCTTGATTTGTAGATATTTTTTAACTACTTCTCTTTAATTTTGCATTTTAATCCTCATTGATGTTAATTTACACGGTGGAAGAAGGCCTATGACTATGAGCACTGTATCTCTGATTAACTTGGACTTGTGGGTTTTTTTAATTACCTATGAATTCAGTGTCCTTAATAAACTGCATGATTTATAAGCAGTTGCCTACTTTAATCTATGTATATGTCAGGTTTTTTATGATCCATATGACCTATTCAAACTATTGTCTTTTGGGTGCCAAAACAGGAAACAAATGATACTTCAAATGCTAGTTCAATAAGACACAGACAAGCAGAGTAGGAAGCTGGCAAAAACCTCCACTGGCTTGAAGACAGGATTAGAGTTGAGATGGTGATAATTTATTGTGTGCATAGCTGTATACTGTACAAAGCAACCACTGCTGAAAGACATCATCCTATTAAAGAAAAGTAGTAGATATTTTTATATTAAAAATACCTTCAAAAATATTTTCAATTTTCCAGCAAAAGTAAAAGGTTTAACAGGTTTTACAAGCACCTCTGTTTGCTTTCACATTATATTTTTACAGTATTTTCCCTAAATTTTTAGTTATAAAAAATGACACTTAAAATGTTACACATTCTCAAAGTGTTTAATCAAAAGAATTCTCATACTTCACTTGAATTTGCTTCTTTTTTAGTTTGCAAGTTCTTTGTAGACAGATCAGTTTCCTCTGTTAATGATAACTGTAATAGGCAATTGATATTAAACTAATATAACATAACTTTGGGCAGGAAACATTTGATGCTTTGATTAAATGAAATATTTCCATTGCCTGGCTGGCTGAATGCAACCACAAAATTCAGCTTTCCAGGGCAACTACACTTAGTGGCTCATTCCAAGTTTCTTTCCTTGAACAAGTGGCAATATTTGGTTGCTTTTTTTTTTTTTTTTCCAAATGCCCAAAGAAAAACTAATTTGCTTGGTGTTCATCAACTTGCAGAAATAGGTTCAAGTAGCAAAATGTGTAAAAGAAATCTTAAAATGGTTACTGGGCCTGAACAAAATAAAGCTTAAACATAGCCCCATTGGGTGAAATCGTGATCTTAGGGAAGCAAACAAAAAACTGTAAGAGGGCTATCAGCTTCAATGGCACTAAATTTGTGTTTAAAGTTAAGCATGCATCAAACCATTTAAACGTTCAAGAGAGGAGGGCACACTAAAGCAGGATGAGCACAGGAGCACACAGCTTAGTGTAGTCAGCAACGCTCCCCCCAGCTGCCTCTGCCTGCAGCCACAGCCTATGAGAGTGCTCTGCTACCATGAGGGAGGGAGACAAGCATTGTTACAACAGATCTGCTCCCTCTTGTGCTACTGTTGTTAATTATCTAAATTATAGTAATATATCTAAAGGCCCCGTTGTGCACAGCTTTGTATTAACACAAGAGAGATAGTCTTCACCCATGGTCCCTACAACTATTAAGACCAGCAACTGACAAAGAGCGTGTTAAGGGCTGGATGTCTCAGCCAAGTAGGATTGGTATTGTTGTAGACCAGATGTTACCTGCTCCCATATGCTCTCGAGCTCTAGAAAATGTAAAACCAGACAGATAATCTGAACAGGTACAGGTATCTTAGACACTCTTCCACAGGACCCTTTGGGAAGAGGCTAGTGTTTCCACTTTAGATATGTCCCACCTGTAACAACGGGATCCGCTAGGAAAGGGTGGCTGGTGGCTTTCTTCCTCTCTTCAGAGGTGGTGAAATGGTGAAATACCACTATAGGCCAAGCTGAGGTTTAGCTTAAACAAATTTTCAATACTTCTCTGCTTCAGCAAGCTTCTTAGGTAACAAGCTGTAGCACTATTGGGCCTTTTGAGGAAATGGACAGGAAAGGATTAGTATGTGGAGGAAAGACTGAGAAAACAGATTAATCTCTAGCATAGGTCACACTATGGAGAACATTTGGAAATTGCTGATGTAAAGGAGAGAATCTCTGTAATTGGGCTGTAATAAAAAAGGGGATGTTATTAATTATATGTAAACCTGCAAGTGATGAAGTTCCTAAAGGAAATCCTACCTCAGGCAATTTCTTCTCTCTGAAGGTCTCAGAGCTCAATTATATTTTATAACTTATGTCTTGCTTACTTTTATCCACATCTCAACAATTGGCATGAAAACACAATCATATTACACTGATGTTTGCTATTGATTCACTTACTATAAATTGGGGCCTTCTAGAGTGGCTGTGTTAAGAAAAAACGAGTGCTATGAGTATGAGATGCAAGCACATTTGCTGTACGGTAATAATTCAAAATGTCCCTGTGGTTAAAGACAGGATATTGCCTCCTACCACTCTCCCCTGCAAACTTCCTGGCAGATCTTGGGGTGAGCTAGGATTGTTTTTGCAGATACTGTTCCTGGCTTACTGTTTCTCAGTCTGAGTGTGTCAGAAGAAGGATAGGAATGAACACGTCTGACTGAAGTTGCTTCATTGTCAGATGAACTGAATAACAACAAAATAAAGGTCTTGGGATTTTGTTCCTTTCATCCTATAGGGATCTGACAGCTAAACAACTGCTTATTAGCATGGGAAAGCACCTCCTTGAGTCTTTACGCACTGCCATGAAGTAAGAGTTCATGGTGGTTTAGGAATATCAGTTTGTAAGAATCTGTGCTCCAGACCTGTTCTGTGATGCATTGGACCAAACTAGTATTTGTTGGCTGTCACTGTTTCCAACCAATTTTAATTCAGATGCACTCACCCTGAAGAAGATTTAAAGCCTCATCAGAAGCTGATGGATAACTTCCCATAATCAACAGTTAAGTTCCTTGAGTTGTTGTTTGTATCTCTTGGCACTGGCATATTGCAAAAACTACTAAGCTTCTATCTCACACTATATTCCGTTTATGTGACAATATGGGTTTATCCACTTTCTAGTGACCTCATCGCTATTTGTTATCTAGGGTCATTCTCCCTCAATTAGTTTCTTTGCTTTTCACGCTCTTCACTCTTCCTTTGCTAGAGACACACTGCTTGTTAGCTTCCAGTTGCATACTGTTATTTGTTGCTGTAATTCTTGAGTGCTTGCAGTATGTGTAATTAAGGCCTCCTGTGACCAATAGTAGGAGAAAGAACCAGGAATGTTCATTACTATCACTACCACAGTGTAAGGTCTTTCAAGAAGGTGGCTGAGGTGCTACCAACAGAAGACAAGATTTCTAGCTATTTTAATGAGTTGGACAGTTCCTTTATCTTGGTGATTACAATTAATTCTGAAAAATACAAGACCAGGAAAATCTATGTGGAAAATTAGCATTCTGCTGAGCAGTTTTTCTTAAGTGCTACACTTTTCATTGGCCTTTTCAATCACGTCAGCCTAAACCCTGTTTGCTTATACATGAAACAAAGCTTTAGAGTATGTGATTTACCTAACTCTTCTCCCAAAGCTTCCAAAAATATTTAGCTTTCATCTTTTCTTAATAATCACAGAAAAATTCCTGTAAAAACTAGGAGTATTTTCTGTCTTGGAAAGCTGGTATAGTTCCACTGATTCAACTACAATCCTTAAAAGTATGCACACTTTCTTGAACCATAACTGGTTTTGAGCCCACGTGCACATACTCTTCCACTGCTCTTTATGCACCTCATGCAGAACAGTAATACGAAGTAGCTGAATGTATAATATTTCTCTCTGAAGTGGCACTGAATAATTTCCATCTCTCAGATCTTTAAAATACTTCTGTGCATTATTAAAAAAAAATTAAAAAATGTTTTCCTTGTTGCTGTCATCAACAAGAGATACATCACAATTCCAAGGAAGTAACTTGTCCATGGCATATCAACAGCTAAAGAGAGAGAAATGGGCAATTATTTGCACTGCTGAGGAATCACACTTGGTAAATTTGCCGTTAGTTCACATTTTCACTTAACAAGTAGTTAACAATCCTGTCCTGGTTTTGCTAGGATAGAGTTAATTTTCTTTTTAGTAATTAGAAGAGTAGTATTTTACTTTCAGTGTTTCAGTTCAGACTTATCATGAGAAGAACGTTGATAACAGTACTTGTGTTGCTGTAGCTCAAGGCCACCGGGATTGCTCGGGCTCACTCTTCCGGGGTTTCGGTTCGGGACCGTCTTGGCTCCGGGATCGTTAGCTGGCACAGGCTGGGAATTGGTCAGCGGGCGGTGAGCACTGTGTATCACTCATGTATAGTCTGTTATCACTGTTATCATTATCATTTTCTTTTAATTAGTAAATAGTTTTTATCTCAACCCCAACCCGTGAGTCCTTGCCCTTCTTTCCAAATTCTCCCCCCTATCCCCTGGGTGGGGGGGGGGGGTGATAGAGCAGGCCGTGTTTGGCTGCAAGCTGCAAGCAAAAGGGTGAATCCACCCAAACCACCACAAATCCAAAGAAGTACAACATCTGATAATTCATTATCAATGCCATATCTTAACTCATTATCTCAGCCTTCGGAACTGCTGTCACTAAGCCAATGTGCATTTGATGACTCTATGATCACATACTATACCAATGCATCTCACTGAGTTGCACTGCTGTAAGAAGTGTACCAAACAAGAAGCAATGAAAGCGAAGCAATGAGCATCTATTATTTCTCTTCTAAGAATGATCTAAATTCTTTGCAATGCCTTCACTCATCCTTCATTATAAGAAATTAAGCTAGACTGCAGAATGAATGGATCAAAGCAGCATGGAGTGTTTCTTTTGTGCGGTACCTTCCTTTCTGGCCAAATCCCAGCCTGTTTCCCTGCTAACACGTAAAGATACTTTACAATCAGCTTCACCAAGTACAACCTGCTATCTACAGCAAATCGTCTACCTGTTTATAAACTTCTGTGCAGCTTATATGTTTACTTACATGCACTTACATGCCTGTATGTGTGTGTACAGGCTTGATAAGTATTTTTCATATTCTGGAAGTTTTAGATATGTTCCCTCAAATACAAAGTACTAGTAACCAAGGACAAAATTACTTTTCTCACATGTTAAATGTTGCAGGTAAAACTACATTCTTATTAACCATTCTATACTAATAGACAAGTTAACCAATAATGGAAAGGCTCTTCTAAAGCAATCAAATTCTTTTAACTGTTCAAAGCATCTTTTCCTTTAAATATGAATTCAGTAGTTTGGAAAAATATTAATATGTAAATATCAAGTCTGACAGTTAAGAAGTTATTCCTTACTTCAGTCTAAGAAACAATGATGTGACAGAAAATACATCACTGAAGCCAGTTGACTCAAGTGAACTCTCATATAAAAAAAAATGTTCTTGAAACACAAGCCATTACTGACTATATAGCAGTAAGAAGAGAGGACAGGGCAGGACAGCTGTGAAAAGCAGTGTAACATTCATGAAGGCATGCTGATTTCTACCAGTTGGGTCAACATCTACTGCACAGGAGCTGGAAACCACCAATAGGAAAGGAACATCATTCTCTAACACTATTTATGGTTTCTGGTGAAGTCAGTAAATGCAGAAATCTGTTATGCTGGGTTATTACAATGCAACATCTGAGATACTTTAAAGACATGGCATTAATTACCTTCAATAGTTTAGTGAAGCTCTAAGGTGAATGGTAGTTTCACAAACTGGTGAAGTTACTTGGTTGATGAGGTCAGAAAAGGATCTGCAAAGATGTTCAGCTGTAGAGAAGAACTCCTGCTGCAAAGCAGACTGTTGATCTGAAAAGTAGAACAGATTTTAAGTCTTTCAGATCATTTGAATGCTGTCAGAGCCCTGAAAAACCCTTTCTAAATCTCTAATTTAAGATAACTCTGTAGAAACAGCAGCTTTTTCCACCATTCTCCTTATTACATCCTTGTTATCAAAAGTCAGGCATCCTGAGTGTTGAACAAAAGCTCTGCTGTGTAAGACCACTGATTACAAAGGGATTTTGTACTGCTGTAAGTCTGCCTGGGACTAGCGTCATAGTTACAGTGTCACAGAAGTGACAACAGAAGAAACCTCCAGATCTCCAGTGTTCTCACCAGTATAAGCTCGCTCCTTAATTGACTGCTGAGACTGATTTCTTCTTACAGGCTTTGACTCATCCCGTTTCAACATTAGGGGTTATACTGCACCTTGTAGGAATATGTTCTACCTTACAGTGTAGAGCTGGAGTACCTCTATAATGGCAAAGACAAGATTCTGAGTCTTCTCTGAGGGTTAAATGATTATGAACAGTATTAAAGAGTAAACTAGATGAAAGTGGGAAGACAGTGTCAAGATAACTGGGGGAACTTATACCTGGTTGGGCTTGGAGGGACAATGCATCCTGCAGTTTCATCACTAGCTGCTGCAGTTCCACTTCCTCACTGACTTCCTTCTCAACAGGTGACTTCTGTACTGCAGTGGGAGTAAGAACTGTATTCTTCATGATGCCACGGAGGGAGTTTTCTGTCAGTTCAGGCAGATATGTTTGATTCTCTTTTGCTTTTTTATACTGTCTGATAACATGTCTGCCTCTCTGCAGGGACACTGACTCCAGTGGGTCTTCTGAGAACACAAAGTCCACTGCAGCGGGAACCTCAGGGGTCTGTAAAAGCTGCATACTATCTGCAGAGTCAGGGGAATTAGAAGATTTCCAGTCTGCACATGTTCTGGAAGTAGGCCTGACTTGGGCGGGATTTAATCCACTCTGTATTCTCCTTTCCAGCAGGACACGTGGATTTCTTGGCATCATATTCTGACATTGTGCAAACGGATGCTCTGATGACTGTAACATGGTCTACAATAGACAAAACATAGAAACTACATTGTGAAAATAATTGATATTTTGGTTTGCTGGTAGTACTAAAATAGAAAGGAAAATAATTTGGGGTCAGAATAATATTTTTATTATTATTTATTTCTAGTGTACTAAAGCAATTCTTTTCACAAATAAAATATTTTCTTACAATAAAATAAAACTTTGTGTTTGTGTTTGGACCAATCTATGTGGCCATTTTTTCACAATTCCAAACTGAAGACATTATATGCTTTAATACCATTGAAAAGTGGAAACAATAATATTCCAAGGGAAAATTTGCAGGAAAATTGTTCTAAAACATTTAAACTAAGGGAAAAATATATGTGTATATTAAATACATATCAAACACCTCACACCTGTTAACATTTGAAATTTCAAAACTAGGTTGGTTGTAAGTGCCACAACTGTGCTTGGAATTTTCTAGACAGAACTATGATACCCAAATACCATCCACCGCAAGAACACCAAGTCTGATGTAACTGGGATGCACTGAGCTGACTTTGCATCCACTGGACACTTCACTGTGTGTGTGCAGCCAGTCCTGCACACTGTGGATAGGCCAGTGTCACAGCATACACGCAGGATGGTATGATATTCCAGGTCATGTGCAAATGATAAAAGCTGACCAAATATGCACCACAGATGTGTCTGGCTTTTCTCTATGTTTGACTATCCCTGAAAAACACTCTAAAAACAGCATTGCAGAAAATGCTACAAAATTATGTAGGTGGCAGATATGTATGCATTCCCTGTGAAATAGGGGCCTTTTTCGAACCTCAGAGATACTTTAAATGAAGAAGAGTCAATATGATTGAAAAGAAATTAAATATTTTCTGTAAGAGGTCTGTATTACATCCCAGTATAAGACAGCAATTAGGGGTGACAAAGGAGTATTTTATTTATTCAATGCCAACACAGAATTCTTCTCTAAAGAAAAGACTGCAATGAAGTGCCTAACACGTCTGTTGGAAACCATTTTCTCACTCTTACTGGAATACCCTCTCATTATTTTCATTGCAGTAGTATCTAAACATCCCAGACATGGATATCTGTGCTAGACGTTAAATATATACAGAATGACAAGAAAACCCCTGCTGCAAAGAGCCTATCTGCTCTCTCTGAAGACAAGAACCTAAGACGACTGAGTAGACAAGCAGAAGGTGCATGAAGTAGTATCAAGAGTGCTGGTTTGCAGGAAAAGGAGTAGTTGGTGTTCAGTAATTGCCCATAGCTGTGAAGATTCTTGGTATATTTATCACTATACCTCTACTTCTTGCTTCATTTGCTGCAGCTTCATTTGCAGGTTTTCATGGCTTGCTCTCAGGCTTTGTAGATTTGCCTCTATTTTGCAGCTTTTGTCTTCCTGGCAGTTCTGAAGAAAATGCATTTTGTCCTTCAATTTGTTAAACTGCTTCTTCATGTACCTGCCAGAGAGACAGGAGGGTAGAAATTTTGCTAGGTCTCACACAGACACAGATATATGCAGTCATGGAAAAGAGTAAACACAAGAGTAGCACAAACTTTCTCCTCTTCATCAGTTCAGGAAAGTTTTGTCAGCTTTGACATTAGACGCCAGTATTTCAGGAACTGGGCTGTACCCATGGAATTAGCAAGAACAGGAGTGTTCTAGATGAGGAAAGATGTGAGCTGAGTGGAATTGTGGCTGGGACTGAGCCTTGCATCTTAGGGACCTTTCCCACAAAGGTGGCTGCAACAGGAGAGACACTGTAGCAGTCCTTCTGTCTCAAAGCAAACTACTTAAGGCAACTCCGTGATCTGCAAAAGATTCTCATCATTTTGCCCTGGGCAACAAAGGAGTAAAAGCAGCCTCTACCCCTTTGGTTGAGTCCCTTCTTGCTCGTGGCATTCTATGCAGCTTGTTTGATGATACCTATAGTTTCTGCACAGGCCACTTGTCCATGAAAAGGTACTGTGATTTTTGCAATGAAAAGTGCCACCCTCACATCCACACCAGACAAGATTTAGAAACTACCTACTCAGAGCACAGTATGACAAAGATATCACCCATTTCTCTGTTCTAGAGTTGGGATTTCTCTAAGAAGTCAGAGTAGAAATAGTTTTGTCTTCCCACGGCTGAGGTTGAGACAGACAGAAAAACTTATGAACACTACAGTAGTAAACCAACTGCTGCACATCACACAGCTGAAGTAGTTATCTCCCTTGCTCAGTTACATCCAGAAGTTCATCTGATTCATTTTCTATTGGGTATGCATTTGCTTGCAGACAAGAGCCTCATCAGTTTCACTGGAATTATACAAGATTTGTCTGAATGGGACAGCAAGTCAGATCATTTAAAATTAACATTAAAATTAATATTACTATTACAGTAGTGCTTATAACATTTAATAGTATTTAATGCGTCTTTACCTTCAACTAACTCAGAGCCCAGTTCTGTGAACAGGCACATAAATGATGGAAGTTGGTCCACAAATAAGAACAGAGAGCTTCCCAGGAGTAATGTGATTCATTCACCTAGTTATATGATAAGCTCTCAGTCAGAGGTTCCAGTATTTCAGGAGAAGGCTTCTCAGATATCCTCTCAACTACTGCTAATCTAAAGCTGAAGATCTTTGCCGTATCTCTTTATTTTCCCATGTGAGAACAAGAGAGTGAGGTAAGGACACAGACTTATAATGAAACTGCAATTGCTTTGCTCTAGTCTTGGAGCACCCTTGCATGAATTTGTAGAAGCAATTGTACATTGACTTATTTCAATGAATCAAAACAGGAACAGAAGGAACTGAACATACTGAAGGAAATAAAGTGAGTAGACTCAAAGATAATTCTACCCTTCACTGTAATTCCATTGGTTTCAGTGGTCAGAGACATGATTATATCTACTGCATATTCATATACAACTACAAAAATGAAGGAGGGGAAAGCAAAAATGAAAGAAAAAGGTAAGCATGGTTGCCCATACACCAACACCCCCCTCCCTCCCCAAGCAAACAAACCACTCAATAAATTTTTAGTTTAGGAATTAGTATTTTATCATGTCAAAGGTTTGAATATTAGAAGGGACTTGTGTGATAAGCTAAGTCATAGCATTTTTATCAATAGTTAGTGTATTAAGCCTGTAATCTCTATTTGACTCACAGCATATTTTTTAGAAAGATAATCCACTTTGATTTAAAAACTTCATGCAAATTATGAAATTTGTTTTGATTAAGCCTTATTCAGAGAAAAATAGAGTATGCTATTCTGATATTTTTATGAGAACAAGCATTTTTCCCTTAAAAATGACTTGTAGAAATGCAAACTAACAATTGCAAAAATGCTGATGAAAGTAAACCAAAATGTTGTGCTTTGCCAGAAATTGTTTTTCCTGTGATCTCCATTTACAATTTTTGTTGCTGATTTTTTATCATTCATCCTCATTTGACAGGATTTTTTTTAATTAAAAAAAAATTGATTTTTTGATCAAAATCTCTAAAGTATGGAAAAATTATTTGTCTTCTAGGTCAGCAGCATTGCCCACCAGTCTTCAGTCATTGTACTACTGCATTTACCTACCTGCTCTCATTGTGAATGCTTTCGATGGATTCATGCATTTTTAACACATCTGCTTCAACAGAGGCTATTGCCTATAATCAAAAAAATATAAAAGTATCTGTTTATAACTTCATCAGCAATAACATTTCATTTTCTATGCAAATTTTGCTGTAAGAGGGCATGGCAAATTTGGGATTTGGTCTGTAATTTACAGTTAACTTTTTAATTTAACTGATTGCAATCAACTGATGCATAAGAAGTATTTCTAATGGCTATTAGAACAGACTAGAAAATTTACTCTATAGAACAAATTCTTTGGGCTATGTCACATTCTAAGTGTAGGAGAATTTGTTTTGTTTTAAATTAGAACAAAACCATAATTCCCTGGAATTTCTGAAAAAATCAATATTCTGATTTGGGAACAGTCTCTCTCAAGTCCCACAACTGCTTTGGGACAAGGAGGTGGAGGGAGAAACTGCATATAGAAGAGAGAAGAGAAACTCCTGGTCTTTGGATGGAAGTAGCAGTTTCTGGGCCATGCAGGGGACAGTAGTCCAGAAGTCAGGGAGACAAACGCTTTCCAGGTAAGCTGCTTTAGAGCATGGCATAAGCTAGGCTGGAATCAGGGCTCCCAGGAAATTACAAGACTAAGAGCTGGATCCCCAGGACCTCCAAGCTCATGGATTTTATTAAAAGCTATCATTGAACTTATGGTCTGCATCTTTTCAAGCAACATTGAAATAATCTGCACTATAACATGTTGGAAATCAGTATAAAGCTGCTCAAAAAGAATTCGCAGCCCAGAGAAAATGAACAAGAGAGTAATGCATGTGATACAATCCCACTACAGGGATGCAAGTCCTGTCTTGCTGTCTTCTAAAATAACAAATACCAGCCATCAAAATGACATGCTTAAGCCATGTCTGCCCACAGCTTTTCCTGCAGATATGTCCTAGCTGGCACTGTACCTTGAGCTGGGCAGCAGAGTGCTGAAAGACAGATCTTGCAAAGGGCAGCACAGTAACAGCAGCCAAAGGAGTGACCTAACACGCACAGGCTAGTTCTCAGTTACTGCACCCTTGGCTTCTGGGAAGAACAGGATGAGTGGATGACACAAACTGGTTTGAACACAACCCAGTGTTCCCTATATTCTGAGTATGTGCAGAGCTACCAGCCTCTCAAATAAATATAGAAACAATAAACTGCTATGCAATTATTTTTATCTACACTGTCCTACCCACTCCTCTAGCATTGTTTCTATGCAGGGAACCTGGAAATGGATTAGTGGAGAGCTTTTATGCATGAGCTATTTTAGTTGGAGTGGACACTGCTCTGGGTTTATCCTTAAGAAGGGCCCATTCTGTCCTCTTGACATTGCCATGGTGACAAAAATGGCCTGAGCCCAATAAGAATTAAGGCATACTCCCTTGACATTTGCTTGCAGAAGGAGGACATGAAGGAATTCTTTACTGTCAGAGAGAGGACTCCAGTCTTAGCTAGTCTTTAATGTGCCACTCTAAGGCAACTCAAAAAGAAAAAAGTAACAGAGCAAATATTCTTTCAAATGCTTCTGAAGGTCATGGAAGTCAAGGAGTTAGTCACTAACCTTGGAAGGGTATCAAATTCAAGCTTCACTAAGTTTTCAGTTTCCACATTTTTTTCCATAAGTGAGAAATTAACAGAAACATGAAGCTGCCCATGACATTTCTTTTCACTGGTAATTAGAAGGCAATAGTTAACTTCATAGCTCTTCCTCACAGCTTTAGCATGTTTTGCTCACCTGAGCTTTTGTCTTGCTTTGCTCTGGCGCCTTGCTGCTATTCTCACTCTTCTGCACTACAGTTCTGTTTTCAGATAGGAACTTGGGTGACCGCAGGACAGGTCTGTCCACTGGGAAAGACAGGTTTTCAGGGCCGGGTAGTGGTGAAGCACTGAGTTCTGTGTGGGGACTGTATGCCAACAGAGATATAATGAGAAGAGAAAGAATCAAGCCTTAAATGGTTTTAGTACCCAGAAAGATAAAAATAAAGCTAATGCACTGTAAGTAGACAAATAGCCGTGCTATTCACCAAGCAGGAAGTATGGTTTAGCTATGCCTGCTGGCATATTTTGTCTGAAATAATGAAATTCCTTAAGACAAATTCCACTCTTTCAACAGAATCTAAACAACAGGTTCTTCTTTCCACCCATTTAATATCAGTGTAATTTGTTGCTTCTCTTTTTTGTTTCCTTTAGCCAAGAGCTAAGTATCTTGGGAAATTCAACTACAACAAGATAGCAAAGGGCCAGATATCCTGCTGTTTAGTCCATTCTGTGCTAGGAAAAGCACAGATACCTATCAGCCCCACAGTGACACATGTAATGGCAACCCCAAATTCTTCTTTCTCTCTGCTACCCAAGCATTAGGTAAGCAAAGCCCCATAGAATTACAGAGAAATCTTGATCGCTCACAGAAGGACTAAATTACATTCGAAATGAAGAAAGATTTTTTTGTTGCTGAATACAAGCAGAGAATTATTAGCAATGGAAAATGTTTTCCATTTTACCACATTCCAAAAAACAAACATTGAAATAATACTTTCAGTGAGAATCACTCTAACCATTGGCCTTACTGTACAGAAAAACCAGTTTTTAATAGCAATGTGCTTACTTGTAGCACAATCAAGTTTTATAAACAGATTTTTCTCCTCCTTTGTGCAAGGATAAAATTAATTCTTTTAGAGACAAGTGACCATTTTTTCCTATTTCAGTCTCACTGAAGCCTCACTTAGAGAACACATGTGAGATATAAGAGAGTTGCTAGGTCTTTATACAACTCAGAAGGAATCCCACCCTTCATATGTTCGTAGTGCTTATCTCATATAAACATTCCCTGCATTTTCTGCACCTAAATACTAACCAAAATCTCAGCGCAAGGAAGGAGCTCACAAGGAAAATCACATGACCTCCAACGCTCATTAACCACTGTGATTACTGGAAATACACTAATGAATGTACACATTAACTAAAAGCACACAAACCAGAACTGATATGAAAGAACTGGAATAGTGAGTTGAGCTACTCACTATTGTGAGTAATCCCACAGGACTGCAATTCAGTGGGACCTGAGTAGAATGACTTGATGAATGCACTGTGGGTCACATGTGGAAAGTATTCACAGTTAATTTCCAATAAATTTATCACGGAGGAGGTGCTTAAAAACCCATGCAATTGTGACAGGGACTAAATATTTGCAATGCTGGACCCTAGAATGAACATAAGAAATGGCATGGAGAGAAATGACATACGGAAGGAGAGAAAGAAGACACAAGCACGTTATATTTTCTAAGATGACTGGTCACTAGGTTGTCATCCTGGTAATCATGGTTAAGCTACAGAACAATGTGCAGCAATTTTCCATTTAAGTTTTCCCTTTTTAATGGAAAAATGACGACATGGTGCCTGTCATAACAAAATCACTTACTCAAAGGACATAATCAAGCAATATTCCACAGCCTGACACATTATTCAGGGATTACAAACTCAACAGCAACAGGAACTCACTAAGTCATTTTGTGAGTAGGGAAGTGCCTCTCCTCCACTATTTCCAGAGCCCTCCGTCTCTGAGCCTCCTTTCTTCTGCAGCGCTCTTGAAACAGGTTGTTCCTGATAGTGCGGAGAAAGTGCTTTGCATTCGCCTTTGCTGACATCTATTGGGAATGAAGGATAATAAAGAAGGGATTGAATTTTCAAACAGGTGCTGCGCAGAAGCAGACACAGTCCAAGGCAAAGGCAAGACATAAGAAAGCAAAGGTCCACCTGTTCAACAACTGACGAGGTTAATGACTGCTGTCTGAGCCCTAGAAGGGGAACTGAGGTGGACGATGATGAAGGACCACAGGCAAGAGTGGCTCCAATTCTGTTGGTAAGCAAAACACCCTGCCTGGGCCAAATTCAGGCAGCCTGAAAATGCTTAACACAGGATTTTGGCAGTTACAATAATTAAGCTCACAGTCCCAAAGATAATTCTGCCTAACTAGTACCTAAGTTCCCTCTTGATCGATGCGAAGAAGTACTTTTATACTTGTATGAAGTTTTAATTGATACAGCCTTCTGTGCCTAATGTCTTCCTCTCATACAATACAGTAAAAACCACACTTCTATTTGTCACAGCAGTTTCAGGCTCAGGGACAACAACTAAGCTCAGTGGCTGTATTACAGGAGGACACAAACCAACTCTGCCCCAGGAAGTGACCGCTGCAGAGCACGGAGTGAGCCCTGACAGATTGAACAGGAAAACAGAAAGAAAACATAGAGCATACCTCCTAGTCATTTCTCAACACAGTAATAACATTACCACAAGGTGTCAGCATGGTAAGGAAAAACAGTGCTGATATTTCAAATCCCCACTCAGCAGCCCACTCCCTGATAAGACAATGCAAAACCTTATCCAGCCAAGGACAGCATCTGCTAAGAGTGAAAGGTATGGGAAAAGTGGCTTACTACTGATTCCCTTATGTCCCACACAAAGGATATAAAAATGGTATCTGTCATAGTGAGTAGCTCATCTTTTCAATTTTGGCATAGATTTTGGCCATGAAAGTAATATTTACAGGGTTAGTGTTAGAGTAGGGCTTCATAAAGGAAACCTAAATTCAGTGATCCAATTGCAGCAACAATGTGGGAAAGCTCAACGTCAGACAGTATAGGAGAGGAAGAGGACTTCGTTCTAAAACAAAACTGATTTCACTCACTCATACTCACTCACTCACAAGCACTAACATACATGTGTCCAAGTAGTCTTTCCAGTATTCATACAACAAGGTGTAAGTATACACATGGTAAGGCCATGATGACTTCCAGTGACATGGAGGACAAGAGATGACAGTTCTCCTTAAGCCTCTTGTGTTCCTCTTAGTGTGTGCTGGTTTTTTGGATGTGTCTTTAGCTCCTTTAGGAGCTGGCAGTGATTGTGATCTTTTGTGTCCTTATTTGAGTGTCTTCAGTTAAAGGTCAAGTTCTTTACCTTCACATCATCATCTCTTGTGATGGCATCTTCAAATGGCAGTTTGTCCTTTGTTTCAGGCTACCTTTTGTTTTCCTGATTTGGTTGTCCTGAGAAGCTGTGCATGGAAGTGCTGTGATCTTGGTGACCAGCTAATCTAGGTTGCACCATCTCCTCCTACCTTGTTCTTGAATAGAATCACAGAATTACAGGAAAGTTTGTGTTGGAAAGGACCTTTAAAGGTCATCTAGTCCAACCCCCCCTGCAGTGAGCAAGGACATCAACTAGATCAGGTTGCTCAGAGCCCCGTCCTACCTGACCTTATCATAGAATGGTTTGGGTTAGAAGGGACCTTAAACATCATCCAGTTCCAACCCCCCTGCCATCAGCAGGGACACCTTCCACTAGACCAGGTTGCTTAAAGCCTCACCCAGCCTGACCTTAAACATTTCCAGGGAGGGAGCATCCACAACTTCCTTGGGCAACCTCGAATGCTTCCAGGGATGAGGCTTCTACCACCTCTCTGGGCAACCTGTGCCAGTGTTTCACTACTCTCATTGTAAAAAATTTCTTCCTTATATCTAGTCTAAATCTACCCTCTTTTAGTTTAAAACCATCAACCCCTTGCCCTATTGCTAAAGGTCCTACTAAAAAGTCTGTCCCCATCTTTCTTATAGGCCCCCTTTCAAGTACTGAAAGGCTGCAATAAGGTCTCCCCAGAGCCTTCTCTTCTCCAGGCTGAATAACCCCAACTCTCTCAGCCTTTCCTCATAGGAGAGGTGTTCCAGCCCTCTGATCATTTTTGTGTCCCTCCTCTGGACCTGCTCCAACAGGTCCATGTCTTTCCTGTGCTGAGGACTCCAGAGCTGGACACAGTACTCCAGTTGGGTCTCACCAGAGCAGAGTAAAAGAGCAGAATCACCTCCCTTGACCTGCTGGCCACGCTTTTTTTGATGCAGCCCAGGATACAGTTGGCTTTCTGGGCTGTGAGTGCACACTGTCAGTTCATGTCCAGCTTTTCATGCACCATACCCCCTAGTTCCTCTCCACAGGGCTGCTTTCAATCCCTCATCTCCCAGACAGTGAAGAACTTTTTCCTGTGTCGAGCTTAAACTTCCCCTGGCACGTCTTCCTGCCATTTCCTCTGGTACTGTTGTTGGTCACCAGAGACAAGAGATCAGTGCTTGCCCATCCTCTTCCCCTTGAAGAAGGAGCACTGGGACACACTAAGGGCCTTTTCCACAGGTTTAAGGATGATCTGCAAATGGAAAACTTGCCATAAAACTCCTTGGGAAGAGGACTTGCACTATGACATTTCTTGGCTCTATTTAGTTATTTCAGAACGAAACACTCCTTCTAAAGTTAGAAGCCTCCTTTATTCCTTTCCCTGACTCACTGTTCCTAGATTAATAATGCTAATATGTCATGGCCATTATGGCTAATACACACAAAATTTCATAATCAGTGTAGTTCAAGAGTCTACTGCCTACTTGCCTACATGAAGAATCTGAACAGGGAAATGAATAAGTACAATGGGACTCTACCTGCACACAGTGTTCCACAACAGGATGTGACCTCTTATGTCGTTTGCTGAGACGGCCAGTGAAAAAGCAGACTTGGCAAAGGTCAAAATTGAGGCACTTCAGACAGCGAAACCTGTGAGGGAAAACAAGGATTAAGTTACTTCCCCATAAGTAAGGACGTGTTGTAAGTGAGCTTGATTACTGGAAATCCAGATCCCTATGTTCTGAAATGCAGAGAAGCATCTTTGTTAGAATAATTACTTTCCTCAGCATTCTCTGAATGCAAATTATTTTGTCCAAATGACAGTGGAGTGTTCTCCAGAACCCACTAATGATTTTGATGTTATTTATTTGCTGAATAAAATTCGATGCAAGGAAGAAACAGTTGTTCTAGTACCATTTTTCAGAAGGTAGTTACAATTTCACATGCTTCTTATGCACCAGTTTATCTCTCCTTGTTGTTTTCAGGGAATTGTAATATCACTACACTATTGATATAGGATTTGCAACTTTGTGAAAAACTAAAAATGCAAAATACTAAACCTGCAAGCTTATTATTGGTGAAAAGAGAAAAGAGTAAAATAATTCTCTGAGCATTCTGGTCAGTAAGTAATGGACAGTGTTCTTTTTATACCATTAGGCCATTTTATACCATTACTTAGATGAATAAGATGCTAAGATGGGTAACTTAACTAGCCAGTTAATACACCTGATTATGGGACAAAGAACTAAGAAATTACATACACAGGTTTAATTTGCTTTACCACTGAACTGCCAGTTTACTTACAGTAAGTCTCCATAATCATGTCTGTGCTAGTGAGCTAAAGAGAAGCAGGATGCAGGCTTGAGCACTAGCAAGTGATGGTTCTGTTTCCCTATCTTGTTAAATTAGATTATACCAAAGTTTGTTGCTTAATACAGCAGTTAGAGCCTGTAAGGCACGCAACAATGGTAAGAACTATTTATGTGGATGCTACAGACTACAGTAATTACTGACGCACCTGAGGCCTGTAATGGGGAAAATTTTGCAGACTCTACATCTAGCTTGGTGAGAAATCATTTTTGTGGCTGATAATCTGTAACACGTAGGGAGCCACAGGAGAACAGCAGGCTCTGATCTCAGCCAAGAGAGGAACTTCTCTTCAACAATTGCTGAATTCAGAACCTGGAAAAAATACACATCTCAAGTTCAGGCATTTACTTGAAAAGAATTGGTGTTCCTAATAAAAGCTCTGATATTGGAATCTGCTATCTTAGATTTTCCATTAATGTAAAATGTTACTGGGTTCCAAGGCTTTGGAATAAATGCAAGTCTTCAGATGTATCTTACTGAGCATCTTTTCTACAGATACAAATTCTCCTATACTGTGAGACTGATGAACAGTCCTGCCCCTTAAAAGTAGATACTAGTGGATGTTATATGGTGATACACTTGCAATTTTAATCAACCAGCAACATTCAAAATAATTTCCCAGGACATCAGAATTTCACTCACCCCATGGAAACAGCTGTGAGTTGCAATTTCCACACAAGATGGAGTGCAGCTTTCTCCCACAATGGCTGGGATCTGCATCAAGAAGAAAGGCTTAGAAACACCTCAATAAAAAACAGATGTTCCATCTTGCTATGCTGAGGTGGTAACAGTACACAGATGGTGAAGCATCTATAGAAATGACATTTTACATACTGTTCTGAAGAATACCTGTTCATACCACTTCATACCTATTCATACCACTAGTATGCAATTTCATAGTTGAGTGTGTGTCACAATTATTTGCTTCCAGCTTACTTACTGAAATGTATCAAAATACTATCTTGCCATACTAGAACACTGAAGGACACTGAGTTTGAGCCTTGGGGGTCATTTTCAGATCCCATTTTCAGTGCCAGTTCAGCTGGAAATACCTGTATGCTAAGGCAATTTTCTGCAACTGCAAGCTATTCTAGTGAGTACAGACATATGAAGTTTGGAGGCGCTTTAGGAACAGCTGTATGCAGCTGTTTCCAGGACTGATCTGAAAGCTCCGACAAAATGAATGCAGAGAGGCACTGATGTGAGTGTTACTCTGACTGAGAAAAGCTACAGAATTCGACTCTCTTACCTGCTTTGCATGGTAGCTCCCTATGTCCACAGAGTGCCTACCGACTTCAGTATCATAATATAATCAAACACAAAATGAATCCACCCATGTATTTTTTTCTCCTAGATTAGGATATTCCAACAAGATTTGTTGTTTAACAACACTGCAGTGGCATTACCTGATTTAAGTCTGTTAGTAGGCTTCTCAGGGCACTACGGGTAATCAGGGCCACATTCCCATCAGTGACAGAATAAAACTGGAAGAAAGCTGAAAACAACCAGAGAAAAGAAACTGGAAACCTGGCAGAGCCTGAAGTGTCTTCTAGCTACTTATTCTGAAATTATCTATGTGATGATTGCAGCCTACCAAATAAACCTCTCAAGAAAGTTCCCCTTTAGTGTCTATAAAACAGGCACACAGTGACTGCTGTGACAATACTTTCTTCTTATAGGTAGGGAAAAGAGAACGAAAGCAAGGAAATTATGGGAATTCCTTATTCCTGGCAGTTAGGGCAAATAAGGATGAAGGAAACAATGAACTCATTTTCATGGCTGTAAGAAAAATATTTAAATGTGTCTATACAAGATAGGCCCTATTTAAACTGTGAATTGTTAATTTCAAATTGTAATTTGGAAGGAAATACACAATATTCAGTGGGGGAGAATGAGGGCAATACGTCACTTGTGCTCCATTTGTTCTCCATTTTAAGCATTTAATTCAGGTAGAAATTTTTGTGCTGCATATTGCACTGCCCTACCTTTACCTGTTATACTTACTTCTTTAAGCACTTTTGTCTAATGTTAAAAGGGCTCTAAAAGCTTCCTGGATTGAATACATAAAATTGTTTTCTAATCCAATGAAATTTAAAACTGAGGGGTTTATCTTCTTTTCTGCTAGGCAAATAGAACTTGGCCTTTATTTTTGAGCTCTACGTATCTTAAACTTTACTATGACTTGTTGTGAGACTCTACATGCAAAGAAGGCTATGGACATTGATTTATTCTTCTGCATCAGCCTTTTTCTACAACTAAGCAGTCAACATAATTTACGTTTTTCATGGCAGAACTGTATTCCTTTTTAAAGCAAAAAAAATGACAATGGAGATTTTTCTCAATGATGTTCAGTATTTCAGGCAGTGTATATAATCATACATTTCCCACCTCTGTATTTAGCCAGTACAGTGTCTCCTGAAAGGGCAATTAGGGCAGCTGCAGCAGATCTAGTTTTGATATAACCTGTTCCACATCTAGGAAAATAAAATAAGTTACACTGCATTCACCAAGAATGTAAAAACCGAAACCTCTAAAGAAAAATACTGCTATGACAGAAAAACAACTTCAAACTCATATCTTTTTATACATATATAAACTGATGTTGCATTTTAGTGGTATTTTATGTGTAGGGCCCTTTGTCACTGAAAATAACTACAGAGTTAACTGTTCAAGATACTATGCAATCATAAAACAAAAGACAGCATCTCCTTTAAAGACTTCACATTCCGAGTAAAATATAATTTTACATTTACAATATATGTCCTATGTATTGTAATGAAAATGAATTTAATGTACTGAAATGCTCTTCATTTGTGGAAAACCTTCCCAAGTATGGAAGAGAAAGCAAGATTACAATCTAGTTTTTGTTTTATATCATTAGGCAGCTTCACTGTGGCCCCAGATCTGCACTGAGCTTCTCTTGGGCTGATTCCTTTGAATTTCACTGCAACAAAATTTAATCAAAATAATATATGCAGGAGCAGGACTTTAGTTTGTGACATAGGCACCTAGTAAAAAAAAGTCCCTTTATGTGAAGACAAAGCAGACATGAATTGGAAACTATAAATCAGGAAATTCTAGAATTTTATATTAAGATATCACTTCTGCAAAGCAGTATTGCATTTCAGAATATCATTACATAAAATTGTCTTCAAGAGTCTATAGATAAACTCCATTTTTACAGAGCATACTGTATAAAGCTACAATATACTGTGTAAAGTATGAGCTGCATGGGAAATTGTTGGTCAAAAGTTTCTAGATTTTTAATTTATATATTTAGTTTTTCTAGAATTTCCATAGCAAAAAGTCCAAGATTAAAGCTAAAGTATACAATCAAAAACCCTTATGATGGTTTATGTGAGCTTATTAAGTAAGCTACCACACAAACATGGAAAAGCCCTTATGTGCTCTTGCCATTAAATACTTTCCAGTGCTGATAGTGAGGAAGGGCACTCTACAGAGAAAACATGATTAGAAGAAAATTATAAGAAGTTTTTTCTATCCTATATATATGGCAAGAAACTTGAGGAAATTTTTTTAAAAGAAGTTACAGCAAAAAGAAAATTACACACTGTCCTAAGAAAACAGAAAAAAAGACCAAGATAGACCTGTTAAGAAGATTCTTCTAAATTATTTTGCTACAATGCATACAAATTACAAAATACTCTTGATGCTTCTAGCTTTGTTTCATAATATTTCAGTTTATTCTTAAACTGAATTGATTTTTTTAAGTACAAAAAAATTCATAACGTGGGACCTTAAGCAGTGTTGATCATATTAATGAATAGTGATTCAAGAAAAAATCCTGCAGACCACTTACATCTCACTCACTTTCAGTAAAAAGCTTTGCTCAGATTTAGAAGGGAATAAATTTCACCTGTGGTGAATAAATTGTACAATGAACTTAGCCTTGTCTTTTAAATCTCATACAATCATAAACCAATCCCACCTTTGGTGAATTAATCCATTACTCACAAACAACACATGAGAAAAGTACACTCTGCGAGCTGCTTCCTTATTATTCCCAGAAACTATTTGCTACTGACAGGAGCCAGCTTACGAGACAGTAGTTTTGTTTCACAATTGGTTGATGAACCTTTTAAACTGGAGAAAAATTAATAATGAAAAGTGACTGGCAAATTCTTGACCTGTGCATGGGTACTGTCATTCAATGGCAAATACAGATTCTTTTTCAGGAGTGTATCAAAATATCTTGTCAGTCCAAAGAAGAGCTACCCCCTGTAAAGCTTTTCTCCAAAAAAGTTAACATGGACTGTCAGACATCTGGACTTCCAGATAATTTTGGAAATATTTGACCACCTCTGATAAAGCTTTGTGCCTCATATTGCTATAGCTGAGCTACTCCCATTGTGTATACCAAGCAAAATGCCATCAAAATGGGAGAGTTTCACACAGAAATGTTATGAGAGTGCCATAAACAGACTTAGTCTAGGAGTACTTCACAATGTGCTTTCTCTCACCTGTCATACATGGCAACTAGCAGGCTCAATGTGAATTCAGCGGCTCTTGGATCTACCTGGCCTGGTTTTTCTAATCTTGCCCTTTGGAACAGTTTTTTCAGCATTCCAGAGATCTGCTGCACTTTCAGAGAAGTCTGCTTTTCCCTCTGGCTCTGCTCACTTGACAGGATGTGCTGAATCAGTGAAACATCAATCAAATCCACTGTGGGAAATTTAAGGGAGAAATGAATGAGGATCCCTGCCTTTTCACAAACAGAAGCTCAACTTATTTTTATTGAAAGTGCCTAAGACAAGTTTGTAAAATGAAGTCTAAAACAGTATGCAACATGAAAAGGAAATAACCTGGGAAAGGTTTTGCTGGGTTTATGGATGTAGCAAAACTTGTGAGGCTAGAAAGATAGAACAGCTCAGCTAAAATTCACTGCATGTGATTTTGGGATAGATAGGAAGGGAAGAAAACAGCACCATTAACTGCATCCAATTTATAGACCTAAATTTCATTCTACATACAGATAGCATAAATCTATGCACTATTCAGTATTTCAGAAAAAAGCTCATCTGGGACTGCGAAAACAATTTGTGCTTTTCTCCTCATGCACAACTACAAAGAGAGGGAGGGTACTATGGCTAAGGAAGGGGCAAACTGTGCTATAAATGTGCCATGGAATAACTAATACCCAGTGGGAAGAGAGAGCTATGGCTTCTTAAAAGTCACATTCAGTACCACAGAGGCATGATCAATTAGAATTAACATTGGAAGAGAAAGATTGTAGTAGACTGAAAGTTTGTAGATCACTGAAGAAGCAGAGAACCTAGAATATGTCACCTATAGTCTTTCCAGCGCAGATGGGAAAATATCAGTGTGAGACACTGGTGAATCTCAATCTGGAAACCCATGTGCAATTCTGGTCACCAGTGTTCAAGGAGGAGGGGAGTAACTGGGACAGATGGTATGAGTGCCTAGAGGAGACATGGAGGACTAGGCAACAGAGCTAATGAAAACCAGTTCTTGTGTGAACTGGTACTTCCATGCTGTAACACATAGCACCAGGAAGATTTCCTATATCAGGGCTGAGATCAGTTTAAAAACACCCGCAGAAGAGCACGCCAAATGAAAAAACATGGCCAAGGCCAACAAACTAGTCATCTTTTCTGTGCTACCCTGAAGATCTCACTTGCAATGCTGTGCATTTTCAGCAACAGATTGTTTCAGGTGGAAAATTAAAGATTTCCATGCATTTTAGCTTAGTATGGAATTTACCCAATTCCAAAGCGAGCTAGGTGACGAGGGCTTTGTTCCATAATTCTTTGCTTGCACAGAACTCTCACTCACTTCAAAGACAGGGAGAATTAGTGCTAGCCAGGGGTTTTCTGGTCTATCATATTTTATTTTGCTCCCATTAAAATTTATAGTATTAATAGTAACACCTGTCAACGCATTTTTTATGATCCACAATTATTTTCAATAAATCAAGTCCTAAGAAATTCTCCTTGAAAATTTGACATTTAATGTGAATAATATTATATATAAAGATTCATAATTGCCAGTGATGTCTGCATAGTAGTGTTGCAGATTGTAATAATAATTTGATTCTCCCATGCCTTTAGGATTTTACTAATGTATTTCCACTGACATTCAAAAGGAGAAAAAAAAAAATTGTATATGAAGTACTATCTAGCTCTTAAGTGTTCATAATGCATTCTGAGCTTCTCAGGTGGAAAATAAGAGACAAAGTAGCATAATAACTCATGGTGACAGCAACACAATTTTTTTACAGATTCTTCTCCCTGTCAAAGCACAGGATTCTCTTCATCTACTAACACTGGCACAGACTTTGTACTGAGCGTAGTTTTAGGGCTGTTCTGTAGATGGAGCTCTGAACACCACTGAAAGCCTCTGTGAAAGAAAGCAAAGACACATTACAATAGAGTGGTAACATTACAATAGAGTGGTAATCGTACTTGGTTTTTTTTTTGTTTGTTTTTTTTGGTTTTTTTGTTTGTTTGTTTGTTTTTTTTAAGGAAAGAAAGAAAAATAAATTGTTTAACTGAAAATCCAAATAACCAAACCAAACTTGGACTTGATCAAAACCCACGATACTTTGAAGGAAAAATCAGAAAAACAAAACAAAAAATTTTTTTCCCCAATAGCTCTGTGGGGAAAATGGTCTTCTTATGACTAGTGACATGACAAGTCGTAAAACTAGTATTAGAGAGCGCACCTGCCTCTGTGGGAATCAAGTCTATTCATGGACCAGAAAAAAGGATATGCACTGTGTATACTTTTAGCAAAGATCATAATGAAATAATATTTCTTCAGGCAAGCCAATTTCTTGTTCAGACTGCTCTTCTACAAGGAACAGTTTGTCAGTTTGCACAGTAGGGTGATTTTGGATGCATATTGTTTAAAGCATTAAACAAACTTTCTGTCAAGATCAGCATCTGGGAAGATAAGCAATTTACCAGAGCAACTGGCTTTTGACATCTCTGCTTAGTAAACCCACTCAGCAGCTCGACTAAATCCCATACACTTATATGATTTCATCTCATTTCTTTCACATCACTAAAGGAAGTTTTCCTGAGTGGGAAGTAAGGGTTTCTGAATATGTCCTATACCTGGTACTTCACACACATACCTAGAACTTCAAGACAAAAAAAAAGCTTTGTTTACAAGAGCTTTAGAAACTAGAAAGGGATTTATCAGTTATCCACCTGTCCTCAGAGACTCTTTCTCCCTGTACTTCAGAGAGGAAGTTTTACTCACAGTTGATTAAGGTCAAAGATAAGCAACAAATATGCATAACTGAGTAGAAATAATTTAGGAAACTCTACCTGTTTCGTCTGGAAATGAGCCAATCTGTGTGCAATGGTTTCCTACAAATGTACCAGACTAATGTTAATAGGCAGCAAATTAGGGGCTCTGCTGGTTCTCAGATGCTGCTTAAGACACAGGAATAAGCCAATATCTGCTATACCATCTGTTTAGTCCTGCTCTTGTCATACTATGTTTTGTGATATTATTTGGAGATGTAGTGTAGCATGTCACACAATGTGAAAAATTAGTTTTGACTTCCATGCATTAGTTCTCTTTCTTCAGTAAACTGATCCAAAGCTCTTCTGAAACTAACAGAAAGACTCCCACAGTTTTCAGTAGGCTATGGATTAAATTCCAACTCTTATTTTCAAATACAAATGTTAGAAACATACACATGATCCAACACAAACACCTTCCATGTGCAAGATGACTTTGTAAGCAGAGGGAATCTGTTTTAGTAGCCATCTGCTACTCACTTTTGGACTCTAAGTCCATCCTTACAGACAAAATGGAGCCTCCAAGTAGCGCATTCTGTGCCTGTCAGGCAATAGTTCCAGAATTAACTGGTGAGAGCACGAAAGGAAAACAGCAGACAAATTTTTTAAAGCCCATATTAAATACAAACTATTTTAGGATTATTATTTATGAAAGGCTATTTGGGGGCACACAACAATTAAAGTCTCATTTCTTATAGGGATGGAGCTTCCCCTTTGGACAGAAAACCAGCAAGTAATAATTCTGCAGTGGGTCAAATTTCAACTCAAGACTCATAAATACCCTTTGCTGAGAAGCTGACAAAGGAATTCCAAACACCTATAGAAAAGAGTGCCCTGTTTTCCGACATCTCTAGTTGGTTATCTGCTAGTTTTGCATTTTGCGCTACCTGATATGTAGCAGACCTGCAAAGATTTTGCACTCAAAAAGGGAGCGTGTGGCCATCCTTCATGCCTGTTCTACAATATGTGAAAAAAGAACTTATCGTATATTATAAATTAGGGAAAATGGCCCCTGTGGCCTGACCATTCCATGAGCCAAGGTGATTATGGCAGGCAAGGTGCCAGGACAGATCAAAAAATAAAGGTGGAATAGCACCGCTGGGTAATTTGTCATTTATATGTTACAACACAGGGATTCTGAAAGTGGCATGATTTCACTACAGTTCATTAGTTTCTGTCCAAACAGACACAGAAATGTCTCTTGAGAAAAGCTGGAAAAAACCCAGAAAAATCCTTACCCTGCAAGTCTGGATCCATTTGAAATGAACAGATGGCATTAGGCGTTCTACAATGAAACAAACCAAAGTGTAAAACCACATTTTCTAGACAGAGACATATCGAACCATTCAAATAAAACCTTTTAATCTGAACAATTTACTGGATGCATTTCAGAGATGAAATTAAACAGAATTGCAAAAAACAACATAATAGTTTTGGCGCCAAGTGCAGAGAAACTCCAGAAAATTGCATGCCCTCTGCTCAAGATAAAGTAGGAGAAACTCTAGTAACTGTAAAATTGTATCAGGGTGACAATAGTCCCCAAAACAGTTTCAAATACAGGAAATGGGATCTTTTACTACTGGAGAGGCCAGTGTTTACATACAGTATTGCTACACAGTCCATAGTGTATAATTGCAGGTCAGAGAGGGCATATCTTCACACCAGACTCTTCCTAAGATTCATTGGTTGCAATTGCTAAAAACTCTATTTCCTAAAATCTTCAAACTGAATTAAAGTTTTCGGCTGAGCTGATACTATTTCTTTTTGAGCTGACCAGGAAGGGAAAAAGGAAGTATAACCATGAATCTACTTCTTTACAAAACCCTGAAAGCAAAAGTAATCATGTCCCTTATAATAATAGAAACTGAATGTCTTCCCTCAGGATTTATTTCATTAATGCTCTAAACTACATTATATTTTTAAACATAAACATATAAATACAGATTCAGTATAGTAACTATCTTTCAGTTAATATTACAGGTGAAAAACACTAGGTATAACAGACTCCAAAGGCCACATATACGGCTTATAGCAGGGGAAAAAAAAAAGGAAATTTGCTAGAATAAATAAAAACTAAATAGTTGGAAACTATCTAAAACTTAAATAATAAATTTGGTATTAAATCTGAACTTACCCAAACGTTCACTTTATTACATTTTTTCAGTGAGTCATTGATCATTTGTCATAAACATGACAGAATACTGGCCAATTATGAAGCATAAATATTCTATGATCTATAATTATTGAGTCTGCTATAAATATACTTCTCACCACTTTAACTGGTAAAAGCTGTAACTTTGTGTTTCAGTCTCTAAATAACCTATAAATGCTTAAAATTATGGGATAAAGATTTGCTTTAATAACTTCTTCATTCAAGACTACAGTTTTTATTAAAGTCCTTCTTTGAAAGAAAAACCACTATGCTTCTTTTTGAAACTATTCTTCTATTTTCTTCCTTACTCAGGTTTAGAGCTTGGACTCAGCCCTGGGTTCTGCAAGACTGCAGTTGTGCCCAATATTTACATAGACATGTAACTTTGCTTATACAATTACTCCTAAAATGGGTGCAGTAGTATATGCCTCTGCATAGCTTGACAGAAAAGTCAATACAGGGAAATCAATGAAATTAGAAGAGTTTAAGCAATGAATTAAACATAAGTATTTAGTGAAACCTACATGGAGACATCTGAAAGACTTACAAACACACAGCTTGCCTCATGTTTTCTTCCTTTTTTTTCTCTCTGCAAAAGGTACATAAAATAAGAAAGAGGATGAATGTAAAAATACACAGGTTAAACTCACTTAAATTAGAACTCACTCATTAGAATTTGCTCACTCAAATAAGAACAGAACCACTGACTTCACTGAGTTATACAGCATGCATAATCTATTAGTATTTGATACTGTAAGATGACAAGCTCTCTATCCCATATAGCACAATGTTTAACCTTTAAATTACCTACACGGATAAATATACTATACTCTTGTGCCAGGGTATTCATGGTCTCAAACTTAAGTATGTGTTTGTGTGTTTTACCAAACTGTCTGTCATTGTGCAACATCATAACATCATACCCATAAGCCCCCCCTCCCTCCAAAAAATTATGAAAGGCGTTCTTAACATACATACAGTCTGCATTTTTATATACAAAAATCTATGGAGTGCCCAGATCTTGACTGCAGTAGCAGTGCTTGGGTAAAATCAACAGGATCTACTTCAGTGTTAGCACATCGACTTTACAGTGAACATGAAAGCAGAAGCAGCATCTGCCTTCCATCAAGTCTGAACTCTTAACTCTGCTCACTGATACACTGTTTCAATCAATGTATTGTATTTCAGCTACATGTGCCTTTTATTAATAATTAAAAACACTTCCACAAAACAAAAAAGAATTTTAAAAACAATTACAAATGTACAGGAAATAAATATTTACAATTATAAACCCCAATCCCATTAACACAAATACTCTTACGTGCAGAACAAGAGTAGCCTTATTCTTGAATCCTACTGGAATGTGCAAGAAAAGTAACGTGTTTGATTACTTATATGCACTTTGTTTGCACACACCGGTTCTCAGAATATGCACTTTAGCAAATAAAATGCACTTTTAAGCATGCTACATAATTAAGTTAAAGTACAGAGAAAGACAAACCACATCAAGTAAGGCAGAAATCTACCGACAGACCAACTGACTTGATCACAGAGGCCTTCCTTCTTTTTCAGTCAGACAACATATGATCATAAAATAAACTAAAATTACTTTTGTTTCCGGAGAAGGGTGAAAACATTCTACCTTGTGTTCAAAGGTCAAAATTATTGTCTCCTCTTAAATACAGTAACAGAGCTTACCTTTCTCTCAGCTACTTACTAAAGGCCCGGAAGTCAGACAACACTGCAAGAGAAGTCCAGTAGTTTTACAGCACTTAAAAGTTGACTTCAAGACACAGTTCTAAAGGTTGTGTTTTCAAATGAAAGCTATTCACAACAAATGCCTGGCGAAGGCCCAGATCAAAGTATCAGGTAATTGTCTAAGCAGTCAAAACAGAGAGCACTAATTAATTAGTAATAAATATCCTGAATTATTAAAGATAAAACTTCTTTGATCTTTGTTTCAAAGCAATTTTTTCTTACGGCTGGAGTGCAATATTTCTAAATTGAGGGGCCTTTGCTAAGCATCTCCCAGTTGCTGAGAAACAATGTTGCTATAGAGTCTGAAAATGAAGCGGAAGCCGGCACAATAATGCAGAAAGCACAGTGTGCTGTAACAAACAGTTGGTGCAACTACACAAAGAGAAAAAATAGTAAGTCCTAGTGGTAACATCCTAGAATAAGAATCGCTCAGACCAACCAGAAAGCTGACACACTCTTCAGTACACCTAAGAGCTAGGGTTTATGCAGAATATATATAACATTTGTAAGACACATTCATTTATCTTAAAGCCCTTTTTCATAAATTTTTCAACAGTCACTGTAACACCCAGGTAGCAAGATTGATCAATGCTATGAATATCCTGCATACATAGCATTCCTCAGTAACTTGTGAGAAACTGTGTACCAGAAATTACTTATTCCTTCTAGATACTCCAAACTTAGTGCTAAGTCCATCACTGTGTTACAACTGTAACCAACTTTGAATATGTTGCCATATTTTAGCTTTCCTATTATTTTTATTCTTTCTTTCTCTCCTAAGCAAAAGCTAGGAAAAGAAACTTTTCCATTCTATTATGCTTCCGTGAGGAAAGACTTGAATTTCCCTGCAGGCCACTAGGGAAATCTAATTAGAATAATTTAGTATACAAGAGACATCCAAGACATTTATTTTGTCTTTCTCCTCCCAACCTCTGAGAAGAAATTCTTTGCCTGTGGTTTTCAGGTAGTGACTCAGAAGTCCAATAAGCCTGCTTACATATTGCAGAAACAGTTAATTTCCTTCTCATTAACAGATGTGCAGTGATGGTGCTTGAACTGCAGTCTGTTTGAACTACTATCCCCACAAGACGAATAAAAGAATTCAGAGAGTATAAGACTGCCAAATCATATTCCATACCGAAAAAACCCCAAATGTAAATGCACATTGGAGAAGCTAACTTTTCCTTTCCTGTCTTGGAGAAAGAGCTATGGAACAAACCTGGTAGTTTGTAAAGATTACCAGTAGCATCCTTCCTTGCTATGCTCTCCTGAGACATCTGCCTGCAGATGCTCCTCAGAGACTCAGCCAATTTTCTGTGCATACACTACTAAAAACTAATTCTCTGAAGACCACTTCCTCACGAAATGAATATTCCTAACCACTTTCTTCAAGACTTTATACAACACCTGCCTGTACAGCTCCCACATGAACTCTTCCATGAAAATACTTGTAACAACATCTCAGTTCCTGTAAATGTTGCTTCTCCCATATACATTTCATGTAAGAAACTACACTCTTCCAACTCCCTTGTGACACCCCAGCTTTCTGAGTCCCTCTTTCTAAGACCAGTGAGACACCCTTCCTCATCTGTCCACATCAGCTGATAAGTAATAAATAAACTCCTCTTGGTTTCCTCATGTAACAAGTCTAGCTCTTCAGAGTTTCAACTTCCACTTGAACAGAAATAATGAATTTATTCCAACTACATATGTCTGATTCAAAGAATGGGAATTTTTTTATTTTGCTTTAAACACTCACATCTGATAAAAAACTAGCAAGTACAATAATATTTAATATTCTCCATCTTTTAAGACATCAAAGACATGCAAGTAGAAGTGGTTCCTCAAAAATACTGTTTAGACAAGGACTTAATTGCATGTTTGACTTAAAACATATGAGTAGTCCCTATGAAACTCATGAAATAAATAAAAAACATGGAGACAAAAATGATCTTGCCACTAAGGAGATATACGCATGCAAATATTTGTGTTAAAACTCAATTTTGCCTGAGAATATATATTCTTACACAAGTACTGTGTTTCAATACATCTGAAACAAGAATTTGGAGTTATAAAACTGCTACTCTATGTGTGACAATCTTGCTCAAAATTGTCATAATATTAATGTTTTAGACATTAAACGATGCTTTTGAAACAGTTAATTGATTCGAAGAAATAAGTTGTTGGATGTAAATTAAATCCTAGACTCATTAAAGTCAGTAGGAATTTTGCTTTGGTCTACAGATTAAGAATATTATATTCACACTGTGTTTGAAATGTTTTTCTGCCTACAGATTTCCAGGTTTTTGATGAGGAAGATACTGTAAAAGCTATGACAATGTTTACCCTTTCTTTG